CACACACCCCTCCCCTAGTAGCATACCCCACTCCTCCCCGAGGGACCCCCCGAGGCCCCTGGTATTACCGTGCAGGGAGGACCGGGCGAGGGCAGCGATCTCCTGGATGGTGAGCGCTCGCCGGGACTTGGGTAACATTTCGACAGTGTCTTCAACATTTACCTTCAGCACAGAGGAGAAAGAGGTAAATTCCCGCCCCAACTCTCGGGGCACCTGCTGGTTGCTACCCCTTGAGAGAGAGGGAGAGAGAGGGAGAGAGCCATCGATCAACACTCCCAGACCCGATGGTCACCCTTCCCTGCAGAGGAACTGGAGTCCAGCTGTCTTGCAGGTTCTACCCTGAGTCCAGGTTGGGGGCCCTGCCCTCTCTGTCTCCTGCCCCACGGCACATTATCAGGGAGAGTTTAAAAGCACTCGAGGGACAATGCCACAGGGGGGCTTGGCGGGAAAGACCCACCCTGCACTTCCAAAATGTGTGGTACAGCCTGAAAGCTCACAGGAGACATTTGCACAGATTGGCTTGGACATAGTCCTGCCCATGCAAGCGAGAGCTCACTCAGACCACCCTGATAGGTGCGCCCATATTTGCAGTGGCAATGGAGGCCAGACAGATGGACAGCCAGGCATCAGTGGCCTGAGACTCATTGACTTTCTGTGGGAATTAGGCCCCTGAATGTGATTTTGCCCTTTAAAATCCACACTATATACGGAGGTGAAGCTGGTCGTGGTGCATATAGTTTGTCTGACAGTTATCATTCTAGGGCCCTGTTTTCAGCTGATTATAACTTACCAAACTATAATTGCTTGGCTTGACGCGATCCTGGGCAGGGGACTACCTCAGGCAGAATATATTTATATATTTTAAAGTTTCAGCAAAAACGGGTCAGCTGTTTCCTAGAGCAAGGTTCGGAGTAAATATTTTGTTTTGTATTTGCCACAAAAATTCTTACCGCCGTTTTCTTTGGAAGTTCTAATACACACACACACACACACACACACTTTGGAGCAGGGACTTAAAATTTGGCAGTGATCACACTAATGTCAGAGAGGGGCTTTTCCTCTTCCCAGGCAAATCCACCCAAATTTCACCACATTATGCATCCCTGAAAAAAATCTGTTTGTACATGTTCAGTCCAGATTTGTTAAGAGTTGGCAACTAAATTCTCTGAAGAGTCTGGCTGCTCTGAGCTTGCTCCATCACCTCCCAGCTTCTATATATGACCAGACCACGTTCCATCTCCACACAGCAACCGAGCATGCTCCAGCCAGGGGCTGCAGGACCTGGGCAAGTCTTTCCCTGCAATTGCTTCTCCTGTCTGCTGGGGACTGCTGTAGTGCCAGGCCCCAGAACTGAGAGCCTGGAGACAGTTGGTCCTGTGCTCTCAGGGCTCCCCTGGCTGGCAGAGTGGAGATGGGGAAAGCCCAGCCATACTGGACTACAGTGGGCTGAGAAACAGATGGGGATGATGGAGGAGACTGCAGGAGCTGGAGGGTTAGATTGGAGCAGAGGGGAAAGGGAGAGGCTGGGGGCATGGGTCAGAAAGGCTTATTAGCACCGGAGAACACTTCTCTGCAGCCTCTGGAATGGAACCTGGAATCCTGAGCTGGTGCCAGAAAATAGCTATGAAACATGTTTCACCCCCCTACTCTAGTTTGAACTAGGGTGGCTAATGTAGGCATTCGAAGTTGCAAATGAAGTTGCAAATGAAGCCCAGGATTTAAATATCTGGCTTCATTTGCATCTTGCCGGGCACCGCCATTTTTAAATCCCCCTTAGTGCGGACTCCGTGCCCGCAGCTACACGCGGCACGGAGTAAGTAGTTCGAATTAGGCTCTCTAATTCAAACTACCGGTACACCTTGTTCCATGAGGAGTAACGGTAGTTCGAATTAGAACTAATTCGAACTACCTACTCCGTGCCGTGTGTAGCCGTGGGCACGGAGTCCGCACTAAGGGGGATTTAAAAATGGCGGTGCCCGGCAAGATGCAAATGAAGCCAGATATTTAAATCCTGGGCTTCATTTGCAACTTCATTTGCAACTTCGAATGCCTACATTAGCCACCCTAGTTCAAACTAGAGTGGCAGTGTAGACATACCCTAGTAGACATGGAATAACAGCCTACTACTGCTATCAGTTAGGCTGTGTCTACACTGGCATGAATTTCCGGAACTGCTTAAAACGGAATACTATTCCGTTTTCAGTTTTTCCGGAAAAGGAGCATCTACATTGGCAGGCTGCTTTTCCGGAAAAACCCTTTTTCTGGAAAAGCGTCTGTGGCCAATGTAGACGCGCTTTTCCGGAAAAGACTACTGGGATGTCTACACTGGCCCTTTTCCGGAACAGTGTTCCGGAATAAGGACTTATGCCCGAGCGGGAGCAGAATAGTTTTTCCGGAATAGCGGCTGATTTTGTACAGTAGAGCATCGTTGCTTTTCCGGAAATTCAAGGGCCAGTGTAGACAGCTCGCAGCTTATTCCAGAAAAGTGGCTGATTTTCCGGAATAAGTGTCCCAGTGTAGACACAGCCTTACTGTGTATGCCTAAGTCATCATCGTCTGTGCTGTGGAGCTAAGGGTCTGAACCCTGCTGATGTGGCCAGTTGGGGTCAGTAGGTTCCCACATGATGGAATTTCTGTTTTTCCAGATTTGGTGGTGGGCTTTTGTTTGGCTTTTATGTTAGGAAATCACAAATGTTCAAAGAAGGAGGTTGCCAAGGCAAGCCCTCTGAAGCTAGGGATGCCAGACTTAAGGTACCTGTGCTGTTCAACCCCTCTTGTGCGTGTGCATTATTCATAGACTGACAGAGAAGGCGGCCAGAACCGGCCATTGTAACAATCCAGTCTGGCACCCCCTGCAACACACACCACAAGACAGCCCTGAATTGATTCCTGTTTGAATTAGCGTGTGGCTCTGCAAAAAGACCTGTTTAAAATTTGCCAGCAAGACAGGGCCCCATGTCCCGGGGGAATTTGTATCAGGGGTCAATTACCCTCGCTGTTAAAAATGGATGCCTCACTTCCAGTCGGAAATGGCCTCCCGTCCGCCTCCAGCCGTTGGCTCTTCTTATAGATCCATAGGCTGCACGGCCCGAAGAGCCCTTTGCGATTGCCCACGCTGAGCTCCTGTATAACACAGGCCAGACGACGTCCCCCAAATAAGCCCTGGAGCAGAGCTTTTAGCAAGACCTCCAGTTAACCATCGTCAGCGATGGAAAACTCACCATGAGCCTGGGTCCCTTGTTTCAATGGTTAATCCTAGACTCCTAGGGTTGGAAGAGATCTCAGGAGACCATCACCAGCCCCCTGCCCAAAGCGGGACCAGCCTCAACTCAATCATCCCAGCCAGCACTTTAAAACCTCTAGGGCTGAAAATTCCACCCGCTCCCTAGGGAACCCATTCCAATACGTCACCACCCGCCTAGTGAAACAGTTTTTCCAAATATCCCAGCTAGACCTCCCCCACTGTAACTTGAGACCATTGCTCCTTGTTCTGCCATCTGTCACCACTGAGAACAGTCTCTCTCCATCCTCTTTGGAACCTCCCTTCAGGAAGTTGAAGGCTGCTCTCAAATCCCCCCTCACTCTTCACTTCTGCAGACTAAACAGACCCAAATCCCTCAGTCTCTCCACGTAGGTCATGTGCTCCAGCCCCCTCAACATTTTGGGTGCCCTGTGCTGGACCCTCTCCAATGTGTCTACATCCTTTCTGTAGCTGGGGGCCCAGAACTGGACACAATACTCCAGATGTGGCCTCCCCAGTGCCAAATAAAGGGGGATTACTCTCACTATTAACAAATTATTTATTCTCACTATTAACAAATTGCGGCTTATTTCCAGTCTGAATTTGTCTAGCTGCATCTTCCAGCCACTGGACCATGTGGTACCTTGCTCTGCTAGTTTGAAAAGCCCATTATTAATCGTTGTTCCCCATGTAGATATGTACAGACTGTAACCACATCACCCTTCACCGTCTCTTCGGGGCTATCACGAGCAGGCAGGTTTTGGAAACCTTTCCTCTTTCTCACAACTTTTCTCGGAACCTACCCCACGGTAGCAGCAACTTGAGTGGTGGACAACAGACCTAGACACAGGATCGTGTAGCAGACACGGGGGCCTCTCTTGCTGGCAAATTTTAAACAGGACTTTTTGCAGAGCCACACACTAACTATCATTAATCTGATACTCTCTTTTCCATGTTGACGGCCATTCTTTATGTTATCCTATCAGTCTTCGAATCATCGAACACTAGAACTGGAAGGGCCCTCGAGAGATTATCGAGTCCAGTTCCCTGCCCTCATGGCAGGACCAAGCACGGTCTAGATCATCCCTGACAGGTGTCTGTTTAACCTGCTCTTAAATATCTCCAGAGACGGAGATTCTACAACCCCCCTAGGCAATTTATTCCAGTGTTTAACCACCCTAACAGGCAAGATATTTTGCCTGATGTCCAACCTAAGCTTCCCTTACTGCAATTTAAGCCCGTTGCTTCTTATCCTGTCCTCAGAGGCCAACGAAAACAATTTTTCTCCCTCCTCCTTATAACACCCTTTTAGATACTTGCAAACCGCTATCCTGTCCCCTCTCAGTCTTCTCTTTTCTAAACTAAACAAGCCCAGTTCGTTCAGTCTTCCCTCACAGGTCATGTTTTCTAGACCTTTAATCATTTGTGTTGCTTTTCTCTGGCCCTTCTCCAATTTCTCCACATCTTTCCTGAAATGTGATGCCCAGAACTGGAGACAATACTCCAATTGAGGCCTAATCAGTGCAGAGTACAGCGGAAGAATGACTCGATTCACAGAGTTCTGCATTAGCCACGTCATTGTTTTGTCAAGTCTTCAATTACATGCTTGCCTGCTATTTTTTCCCACTGGATCCCTTCCTCCCTCAGGGCACAGGATGGACCTGCAGTGGGATGAATCTTGGGGGAAGAATGAAGGAGGCTGTTGTCTATAAGGATGGCGAGTTTGCCTGTTGCAGAAGCTGGCAAGTGACAGAGGGAACCAGAGGATGACCCTGCAGGTGAATGTTACTGTGGAGAAGTGGGTTCTATTCCTGCGTGTGTCACACTGCTCCTGTGTCATTCCGGGCAAATCCCATAATCCAGCCTTTCCACTAACTGCAGGAGCTGCTTTTTCATGACTTGAGATGTTGGGGTTTTATCT